CTTTCATTGAGAAATAATATCACTCTGTTCCAATTTCTATTCTTCTGACTGTTCTTTCTTGGACATAGGTGATGGTAGTGATCAAGGAATATGAGGGACTTACCAACAGGTATACTGCAAATGAGCAGGTATACATTGTGTCCCTAAATTGTACTTCATATAAAACAAATTGCCGGTCTGGCTTCCTTATGGAATTATAGGCCGTCAAACTGACAAGTTGAAAAATTTATTTTATTCTGAATTACTATACCCTTTATTTGACGTTCATGAAGCTTTTGTAGCAAAAGTGACTTATAGCTACTTGTCGTTCTTAATTAGAAATGCACCCGAAATTTTGCTGTTGTCCAGGTACGGTGAAACTTAACCTTTATAATGATTATAAATTTAACGGTGTTGCAAAATTTGGGGATTTGCTCAAGCAGTTAGATAGACCCGTTTTTTGCTTCAAAATAGCTATACATTGTTTTTTCTATATCTCTTACAGCTTTTGAGATAAAACATATTTAATAGTTGCAGTGGTAAAACTAATACTATTAAAAGTAATACAGATGTGAAAATAAAATCGAACCTTGTTAAGTAATTATTAATAGAAACCTAAGATAAATGTTCAAAATGCGTTCCATTTGTCTCTATACACTTGGCAAAATTGTTTATTTACATCCAAATATGTAATGTTGTCATTACTAACGTCATTGAAGGTTGGGAAATGTCATATTACCTACCTCTACTTCCCGCCCTCATTTCCCGCACTCACTTCCCGCACTCATTTTCCGCATTCACTTCCCAAAAAAATTAACGATTTCTATGTTTTTTCTCAAATTTATGTAGTTTCGAATGATCTTCACCCATATTGGATTCGTAATAAAAAATGATCTACTTTGTATGTGTTTTGGAATCTGGAATTTTAGCTCAAATTTTTTCTCCTAAACAGGTTTAGTCCGACATTTTCATTTTGACTAATTCGTGCGTTCGACAAGCTCCAGATACACCTATGTTTTCTTTGGAAAAGACGTAGGATTTTTTGAATCTAAAGCCCACATTTTGTCGTTCCAGGAAGGCTGGCAATTTTCCACGTTTGGAAATATCAATTTTTTCTTTAATTTGTAGCACTGTTCTTATCATACTGTACATGGTCCACCAAGTGGACGACTTCTGTTTGGCTCGTTCTCCAAAAAGTATAGTAATAGTAACATTACATTTTCGGAGATGAAATTCTTCACATTTTTTGCTTCACACCACTTCCTATATGTCTCAATGGCTTTTAGATACCGAAGATTACTTTTTGCTGGCACCAACTCATGTGCTGCAGCGTCAGCAGCCTGTCGTATTTCCGGCGGGGTACAAGTTAATACTAATTTGTCATCGGAGGACATTTTTTTTCGCAAACTTAAAATCAGATTGAATCTGACAATTATTTATATTGTGAGAGTGAGAGTTGTTGACCCCATAGTAACAGAAACAATACACTTACCTATTTTTCTATTCTGACAAGAAAACCGCCTGCTTATTTTTTTGTCATTAAATGTAAATTAGGTATGTCCAGAACTTTCAAAACATAGTCTTATTCAATATGGCCGAAATATGATGGTTGTAAATAAAATAGTATACAAACCTCGGTAGGAAGCTTTATTCCTGTCTCTAGATCATAGCTACCCTCGACGCTTCGCGTCTCGGTAAGCTAACTAATCTCTCGACAGTAATGAAACACTTTCCACCTCGCTGTAAAATATGCTATTACCTACGACCACTACTGAAAGTAGTAAAGTACTGTAAAGTAGTATCAAAAGTTCTATTTTACGCATTGTAAACCAAACGCGCGGTACACCAAACGTACAGTTCTGTCATCATTTATCACAATATAAAAATTTTAACTTGTTGCAAAATACTTGCCCTACCGAAAGTGAGTCTGGTCCTTTTAAAAGCAAGCAAGAAGTCCGATATTTTGTCCGCAAATAACATAAAAACTTTTCGGAAAAATGTACCTACCTGATATTGAATATCCGTTTATAAACGTTTGACAGCTTAATTGGTAATTTTGGGCTGCTGTCAACTTTTCAATCATTGCTAGAACTGACATATTTCAAAATGTACAAATTTTTCTTTCAGTTTTAGTAAGTTATTTCGGTCGCCGGTAAAGAATGGTTCATAATTTGAGCTGTAACGCAATTACGTACTCATGGAATTACCCACTCGCCGCTTCGCTTTTTTTATATGTAAAATACTATTAAACATTTTAGTTGCAGCCGGAATGGCATATTTTGGGCATTTGTAATAAAATTAGAACTTCTTCTGAACTTAATCCATTGTTATTTTTTCTGTGGGGTTATCTCAAAGCACTAGTTTACTCTACTTCATCGAGGTCTAGATTCATCGGTTTCATCGAAATCGTTATCTATTATTTTAGATTTTAATTATAATCTATTTATTTTAGACAAAAAAGAGAACTTTTGCTCACAAAATAACTTTGGTAATATTTCAGAGATTCCTACACCAATCTCCGACAAATCCCCACCGCATCGCCCAACATCTTTAATAAGCGCGTCAGATGCTCAACCGATCGGCGGTGCCACCGAAATTGTCTCGAACGAACGGCGGGAGGCCGTCGCATCGTAAGAGACCGACTATGCATCAAGGGCGGATCCAGGGGGGGGGTCATGAGGGTCATGACCCCCCCTTGTGCTAGGTTTATAACGACTAACGATAATTTTTCTAATTTCGYAGACAACAACTTGACCCCCCTGACTCGAATGCTGGATCCGCCTCTGCTATGCATACCGGTCTTAGTGTCGGCGTGTACAAAAAGTGGTTTGTGTTTTCTATTTTCTTCTGAGCGATCCCTATTTGAGACGGAAAATCCCAACACCGACTGAATTTTGTGAATCACCCAACCGACGAATCAAACCCAAATGTCGGCTAGTGAAAATTACTATACGTATTTATGTACTTTTTACAACATCTTTTTTGTTATTGCGAAAGTAACCGTGGACACAGAAAAACAAACGAGACTTAACAACTAACACCGTTGTCAGGGTACCACTTGACTAAACGGTAGGTTTCCGAATATTTTCATCATCTCCTTCCAGATAATTATTAACATAATATTTTATTATTCTGGTATATAATTTATTCTGGTTTTTTAAATATTTTTTTTTAATGCCTCGAAGTTGTAGCAGATTTTCTCTTAGAAATCGAACTTATTCAGTTTTCTATCGCTGCAATATTTGTATTGAGAGTAGCGCTCTCTTGAAAATGATAGTTGGAATTTTTCACTAATTTTCCGCCGCATTTTCCGATGACGTAAAACCACATGGAAAACACGCAATTTTATTTTTCATATAACTTTCTTACTGCATAACTTGTTGGTTAATGAGTAATGAGTATTGCATAAGCAGGACTAAAATAACACTCATTCCACATTCCATATTTAATGGAAGTTGTACACACCGTGTACTACAGAGATATTCAATAGCGTTTCGAAAACATGTTGTTTTAATAAAAATTAAAATTCTTTGCTAAAATATTTTTTAAAAGAAAGAGGAAAAATCGAAAATTTACCACATTCACAAATGCCGTTTAATCTGACAGTGAGCAATATGCGAAACAAACAAGCGGGGTACTCGACACTCGCAAAATAAAAATGTGCTTGTTTAAAGAACACCGCGTATAGTGAAACGAGAAAGACCGTCATAAAATAATACATATCCAAAATTACTTAAATGAGAAAAGTTTAACTTTTTCTTCATCTTAAAAAAATCCCAATCGTGAGTTCGGGATTCTTAAATATCAGTAACTTTTTAAGTTAAAATACATTATTTTCTAAACGTTATTACAGACAAATTCGGTTTCAATAAAAACGTTTCGCTTAGTTATAGCAATAAAATTTTGCAAAAAAATAGTCACTATGCAATAACAATCCTCAATTTAATCACAGCAGAATTTTAATGACAGGAAATATCGTTGTGTAAAAAAAAGCTCATGTTATATCTTGAAAGTGTTACAGTATTCAAAAAGTTACTTTCCTATAATTTATTTTACTGTACTTTTTGTACTTTCTGTACGCTATAACTTTGGTCGCATGTCATCAGTGAGGAAATTTGACTACCAACATAAAAACAATTATACAAAAAATGCGTGTGAAAATTCGAATGTTTTTTTGTGTGTTTTGAGCATTGGAGAACCTCAAATCGGTCATAAAATGGGACAAAACTTTAGGATACTACCTAATTTCAAGCGATGTTGATAATTTATGTTAAACTTTAAAATTATTGGTTTGGTGAAAATTACAATGCTGCCGAATCGATTGTAGATTTATCGGAAAGTTTTTAATGTCACATGATGTTGCTTGATCCGTTTGTCATGTACTTATCCATGACTTGTTCGTTGACGGTATGTTTGTGCTTTTCAAATAAACCATTGATCCATAAAGAATAATCAGCGAAAGCGAGACAGCATTGAGATAAATTAATACAGCTTTGAGAGTTTATGGCGGGTATGGCAACAGCGCTCGACCGACGATTGATGACGTGCTACCAAAGTTATAGCATATAGACTATATGTCAATAATAATTAGTTGACACCTAAATTTCACCAACTTGGAATATCAAAAAAATCACCCGTGAACAATGACGTAAGTATGTGAACAATTATTTACCCTGTTGCATGTATCGGATGTTCAACTAATGCGGCAAAATCAAAAAGAGACGTCGAGGACTAAAAAAGATGTTCGTCTTTAAAGAACCAGCTAGCTTTTCAGACATCGCATCAATATTAAAACCTGTGGAAAATGAGAGTACCAGGTTAATTCATTCTAATTTACATTTGAATTAATTAGATATTCCCATTTGGATAGAACACATTTCTGTTTGAAGAAAAATGCAAAAGCATTATTTCCGCTAGATTCTCTTCCTCTAAGTCTACAGCAGGACCAATAGCTAGCCATCTATCGGTACGTTTCTTTAATCCACTACATGGAGGTATTGTCTTCGGAATAATCAGACATTCTATCATTTCACTAAAGGTTTAGTCTGTCGTGGTCGGTCGTGTGCTTCGATTGGACGTGCGAGTTAAATACCGTTTCTATCGGCAGTGTTTTCGTAATATATTTGTTACTTTTTTGTGTTGTATGGCGCTGTGATAACTAATCGTATGGTGGATGTGCTTTATAGTGCTTGTGAATTAGAAAGTGCTGCTTTATGCAAAGTGGATATTATTTACATCTAAGGATCTAGGATACATTTCAAATTCTCCATAGTCAAGTGAATGGTATGTATTAGATGTAAATACTGTAAATGTTAACAACTCAATGTTAAAAAATACTTTTTAGTTTCAAAATGTTGTTGTACCCCGTTCATCAGTATGTTATGTGCCTAAGCGCCACGTAACTGATTAGAATTCAATTTTTACATCAAACGTATTTTTCAACCACAAAACCTTACCATGCACTGATTGTTTCAATCAACATTTGTCATACAACTGGTAATCTCCGATTATGTTCATAAAACAGAAACTATACTGTTTCGTTCAAGTCAGAAAGGAAAGTTGCGCGCTTAATACAAGGACAGGAAATACATGTTGCGATTTAATAACATTCCGTTGTTTCAATATTGCAAATATTGATTAGAACTGTATTAATATACCTATAATAAACAGAAACATATTTGTACAAGTTTGAATTTTTCAAATCGTGCTACAGCGTTATTTTCAAACTAGTATCTACTAACAAGCCACGTAGGTTCAGAAGGGACGAGATCAGTAAAAATAAAAAAAATAAGCAAAATTTATTGTAACGTTTAAATTTTGTGCAAAAATCGGCTGAAAACTATTGCGACTGATGTTGAAACAGTTATCAAAACAAAATACTATAAATATATTGAGGTCAGAAACGATTAGGAAAATTGCCGTCCGCTTATAAGAAGAATTACTTGCTAAGTCCAATATCGTGCTGGATTGCAGGAACACTTCTTAGCTGAGTCTTCAGTTACTCGTTCTGAACTGCCCCTACTTGCCAGTTTACTAACATTTCAATAAAACCAACCTGAAAACCCATTCATCATGGCAAGACAGTTTCTATAGTCATATGATTTCGAAATTTCATTTAAATCAACAATTACAGATTGTCACTGCAGGGCAGATAAGAATAGTTTACCAAATTTAATTAATATTTACATTATTGGGGATAATCGTGAACCTTGAACTCTCCGTTATAGTTTCCAAATATTGGGCATAAATAAATTAACACACACCTACATTGTATTCTGTCACCTTTCTTTACGTTATTTGTTTATTTCTATGGATCAGTAATGATCTACCCTCATTGAATACTAAACATTTCTTGCTTCATCGATGTAGAACAACCTGTTACTATTCTGTCGTTTCAATATTTCGATTAGGTATAGTGTGTGCAAATTTTGCTGCTGCGTCCACCTGACGATCATCAGGAGTTATTTTTTTTATTATCAGACGTTTTAGCTATGTCCGAATTTCCGAGAAACACATGGGAGATTTTCTTATATAGAAGGATTAGTTTATTATAGGGCTCGGAATTTTTAAAAATCTGATATTCGAATATTCGTTTAGTGGTTTATTCGAATAGTAAAATTATTCGAATACTCGAATATCTAACGAA